TTTTATAATGTAGATTGAATTCTTCAGACTAATGTAGCCAGTTTCCTTGCGGCAAAACTAACTTATTGACGCTGATGCTCTGTAATGTCTTTGAATTCTGTTCTGCTCTCAGTGTACTCTTGTCCTCGACTTCTTCACCCACCGCTCCTACTTAGATTAAAAGTCCCAAGGAGACGCTTTGCTCAGCAGATGAAAACCTTGGTTTACATGCCAGGAGGACTCATTGATCTGAAGCTGCTGCCCTGCACTCACACTTTTTCCCACAGTGCTGCTGAATTTCAAGGGAAGATGTCAAGAGAAAAGATACGAGCATAGTTCATGTGTGTCATTGTGCCAAACCACATCTCCAGGATCAGTGCGGCAGACTGTTATATAATGACAGGAAAGACTGATTTAATGACTTCCTCAGCATCGTCTCCCCACCTGCTGATTTCCTACTCTCAGATCTTAACCTCACCCATCCTCCTCTGGAGTTTGTCGCTCCCAGTCATTTTCTCAGGGATGCTGATATTTGTCTGATAACTGATCCATAATTCATGGAGGCTGTTTTCCATAACATAACTTGGGGGGAAATATGCCAACTTAATATTTTATCAGAAAAAGGAACCCAAAACCCACAAAAAACCGACAGTGTCAAAACACCAAAGAACAAAACATTGACATCTTATTCTAAAAAGAAGAATATACTTGTTCCAAGTGTCTCCCTGAAGAGTTTTAAAGAGGTGGTATTATGCTTTTTGGCTTTTCCCCTCTCCTTTATTGAGTTATATATCTTTTTTGTGCATGTAACAGGTTTGCAAAGTGAAAAAGCCCAAAGTCCAGCCCAAAGGGAGTTCCCATCTCCTACAGAAAACTCTGCTCTGAACTGCCGGAAAACAGCTTGTTTGTAGTCCAGCAGCTTCCCTTTCATCCTTGTGACGTCACAGGGATGAAAGCTAAATACGCCTCACATAACGCTCACCAAGCGGCTACTCCGACACACCCTCAAAAACACTGGCGGAAAAACAGTGAGCTGCAGCACACAGCTCTCCTCTCGCTTCCAAACACTAGCTACCCTCCAGCAGTCAGTGGACATAAAGTTGGTCCTGTGATGTAGAGACAGAGCTCAGTTAAAACTTTATGGATGAAAGATCCTTTTGTTACAGATTAATAACTCTGAAACTCTTGCTCCAGTCCATGTTGCTAAGCTGGTCGGCAACATGTGCAGCTGAACCAAAGCCGTGTTTACCAGCTTCTCGCTGACCCGCCCTTCTCTGCTTCTGATTGGCTAGTAGTCCTTAACTAGGAACTGCGCATGTTCAACTCCCAACAAAGATCATTTAGAAACAAGATGTATCACTCCATAGCTAAAACGAAACCTTCAACACAGGTTGAAAAGTGTGCAATGTGCAGTATGACAAAAAAAATATGGTGTTTTTTGAAAATTAAACCATGTAAACCTGTTCTGGTACAACCTCTAAATAACATTTTGAGCAGTTTCAACCAAAACTTAATGTTAATTTACAGTTTTACAACCATAATTTACTAAATTAACATCAAGTTGTGTTGAAGAAGACTTGCAACTAGTGACTGAGACCATAAACTCATTAGGAATGTGTTAAATCAATCAATAAATCAAGTGAGAAGTAGGTTCATTTTCTCATTGACTCCAATGCAATTAGATTTATTTTTGCAACCAGGGGAGTCGCCCCCTGCTGGTTGTTAGAAAGAATGCAGGTTTTAGGCACTACTGCATTGGAGGCTGTTTGTTATACTAGACACATTAAATGAACCGACCGCTGGATTCAACATATTATTTCTATTCTATTTCTGTGCTTGTGCACAAAAAAGGTGGTAAACATTGTTCATTAATGGAGTTGGTTCTTCTTATAGTCAAACTGATCCTGGATTAGTTCTGTAGAGTGTCCAACAAAAGCTCACGTGAGGAAGATCAGCTTATTTCTGTTTGTTTGTCTCGTGCTGTCTCCCTTCCCTGAAATCCCAAACTCCTGTGCGTGTATGCAGTCAAATAAAGCTCAGTGGATTCAATAAGGTTATGAAAGTCTGTTAACCTGATGCCTAAACCAAGACTGTGAACCACGAAAACATAAGCAGAAGAAAATAAATACAATAACTGGAAAACCTATTCTGTACAGAATGCAAAGGGGGTGGCTGTGTTTTTATTGTAGTTTAAAGTTCTCAAACTGTGGAGAGGCCTAGAGCCACTGCAGGGGGTGCATGGATGAAAAGGGGAAAAATATGCAGAATAAACATGATTTATGAGGGTAAATAAAAAGACGAGAGTTTGCTGATGCTATCGTGCTGACATGAATCGTTTCTTTTATTTCAATCAAATTCAACGTGGCTTCTTTTTTATTTGTTGCTCCTCCAATATTGTTATTGATAAGAATTCAACTCGTTTACATGTGGTGGGGTGGCGTGAACCTTTTTTGGCTCCTGATGGGGGGCATGACAGAAAACGTTTGAGAACAACAACAGATTTTCTCTCTCTTACATGTTTGCTACATGTTTACAAATATGCAAGCAGGCAGGGGGCGCACTGAGCAAAAACAACTTATATAATACATGACACATTTGTGAGGAGCTTCAGTCTGTAGTGATATTAGAAGGACCTCGCAGATGTTGCATTCAGGCTATCCTGTGCCATCCTCCCTAGATATGCAGGGAAGATGTTCTGTCTGTCGATTGCAGACAAAGTGGCTCCCTCTTTATGGTGTACATAGTTGAAGATATACATTAAGAGAGGTTTTAGGTGTGAGACTGTAACCTCTGTGTGCTCTCTGTACTGAAAGCTGTGTGTAAAATGAACATATATATATATATATAAATACAAATGATGGACAGTCAAACAGCAACACAAAAACTACATCCTCCAAAATTATGTTGATTCAGCTCCTCTCATTATAACCTTCGTGCAAGGAGGATGTATTACAGGACTTCTGTATTAGACTGCCTTAGTTTAAACAAGTGTGCCTAATGAAGTGGCAACTGAGTGTTTCTCTCTCACTTGATCTACAACAGTGCTGTTAGACTGACCTCTGGTGGTGATCAAACATACTGCATCAGTTACAGTAGGGGTTCATTCCTGGACACAAATCTTTTCTAACCATTATAAAAATGAACAATTACAAGTGGTTGTACCTTTGAAATCAATTGCGAACTTGCGTGTTTTAGCTGGGGTTGGGGTTCCCTCCGTGTTTACTTCATACACAATCTCCTTTGCACTATAAACTCTGTTATTATCCATCCATCCATTGTCAACAGCTTATCCTGCGTACAGGGTCGCGGGGGGCTGGAGCCAATCCCAGTTTACATCGGGCGAAAGCCAGTACATTTATCTTGTGTGCCCAAACCGAATGCACGTTCTCTACTTTACACTGAGTTTGCAATTCAATAACAAACTTCTAGCAAAACTGCCAACATTGGTCTCTATTTACACATGCTCACTCAACACTTTTAGGAAATTAGGGTAAAATACTGCATAAAACGCTGCATCTGATGTGGATGAAATCTTAAGGTCAAGTCTACAAAGAAGACCAGATGAAGCTGAAGATGAATTTTTCCTGCTGTTTTTTATGTTTTTGTTTTTGTTTTTTCTACTACTGAGCTTCTGTTTGAGAGTTACAGTAAAACATTTTGAGAAAAAAAAAAAGTTTTTCCCTTACTTGTGTTGATAGTGTGTTATGTTCCAAAGACACATCCATACTTTACACATTTGGACACCTGTGTGTATGTGTGTTTTACTATACTACATGTATGACAAAACTTTATTGCAAACTGCTACGGCCTACACAGAAAAAGCAAAAGCCACGTTTTTCATTTATACTGTCAGTGCATTTCAAGAGCTTTTGTGGTTAGTATGTAGGGTTTTGCAAAGATAGCCTAAGGTTTTAAAGAAATTGGGCCTAAGCAATCAGAAAAAAAAGTAAGATAAAGGCCACATCCTGCTGTACAGTACAAGCTGTAATAATTCAAACATATTTCCCACAAGGGATAAAAATGATCTTAAAATTAATTCTACACTCACTACACCGTCTTATGTAGTATGTTGTGTTTGTTTTGCTGTTTGATCACTAGGTTGAGGACAGCGAAAGTTATTTGTAGCTACATTCTGCGAACCCACCTCACACAGGTAAATGTCTGAATTTATGGCCGACTGCGATAGCCATGTGCTAAATGCCTCAGGCATATCTGTGAAAAACTTGTAGTCATGGAGGTCTGTCAAGATAAAACAAATAATAGTATGTACAGTAAATTATTATTAACAGGTTTATGTTTTATAGATTAAAATTTTGAGCAAACTTAAGACTGCTTTGCGGCCTTTATACGAAATAAGAATAAGTATTATAGTATACTCACATACTGTAAAGAAATCAGTTTTAACTGTGTAATCTGTTACATGATGGATGATTCAACATGAAGTTAGATGAGGATGACAACATGCTTCTGGGTTTCCGCATACATGTAACTACAGTTATAAATACCACCATGAGGGTTTTTCGTCTATTTGTTCCAAAAATATGTGTTTTATTGTTAATTTTCAACTACTGAGCTAAATTAATAGCATAATAATCCATACTGTCAGGTGTGGGATTTTACTCCTTTGTTTCATGGTGTCCACATACAGTTAAATAATATAAAAATAAAACTGAATTTTTAAAAGAATGTGAATGTATTTTTGTTTTAGCCCAATTGTTAGTAATAAAAAGAATCTTAAAAAAAGTCCAGATTATTTTTTTATTAATTCATGCATGAGCGGGTTTAAAGAGCAGATGTGTCAAAACTACCTGCAGCTCGACAACAGAAGAAAAAAGTATTTTTTAAACACTCTGAAATACTTTTTTATTCTATAAAAATGTTTCCCCTTCGCTGTTGGATTGTGTGTCGAATTTAATGCCAAAAAAGGCAATTTAATGAATTTATTCTAGTGTACAAAAAGTTTTTCCACCAGCCTACAAAAAATCTAAAACCAGCTGATAAATCAAGGAGGAGACATCCGAGCAGCAGCCATTAACTTATTTATTATACTGAATTTACGAATAGTAAAAGCAAACACTTGAATAAACAGTATTGTACATTTTTAGTCTGTTATCCTGTTGTTGTGGTTGTTTTTGTTCCACTGTACACAAGGCTGACGACATTTCACAACCTCTTCTTTTTTTTCCTGTAATCTTTTTTAAAAACACCCAAAAGCAGACGACGTGGACGCTCCGGCGCAGACGCACCGGAGTAAGGCGGACACAGGTGTGGACACGACCCCTTCACTGCCATTCAGATGCAGGGAAATCAGAACACCCAGACTTTTACAAGTACATAGAGATGGAGGGCAAGGTGGGGAGGAGGAGGAAAATACATTATAAACTGATCACTCGTCGTTTTGTGGCCTTTTAAGTGTTTAACCGTCCCGACTCCAGAGCCTGGCTTCATGTCTCTGTGGAGATCTTTAACTGTACAAGATTAACTGACATGCATCTGAGTAAAGAGCTTCTAACACAGGTGGGGGAAACTCTGACTGCTATTTTTATATCAGCGTAATATTACACTTAAAACAAAAGCATTTAAAGGACATTTTTTATAATTTACAGTGGGGTCATAATGACTTTACACTCATCTCCTCTGAGAAGCTCTAGAAAAATCAGGGCACAAGCGGAAGCTTTCTAAATATACTTCAGTTTTACAGAAATAATAAAACACTTTCAGTCTAAACAAAAGTAAACACAGAAATTAGCCCCTCTGACCAAACAAGCTGCACGCAGGTATGTTTAGATGTGTGTGCACGCTAGAAAAGGTCATAGCAAAAGACTAAAGCTGATGCAAGTTGATTGACAGGAAATTAATCCGCAACGTCTGATACTCTTTGGTAAAAGTTTCAGTCCGTTTTCAAGCAAAAAGGCCAAACATTCACTGGTTTTAGCTTCTCAAATGAGAGGATTTGATGCTTTTTTTGGTCAAATATGACCGTAAATTAATTATATTTCTGTTTAAGACTGTTGGTCGTATTAAACAAAGATTTTAAGATGTCATTGTGGCTTCTGGGAAACTATAACAGGCATTTTTCAAGGATGATTGCGAGTCGTTTCACTTTGACGGGCGACAATGTTTATTTGAACCAGAATCAAAGATGAGGAGTATGTTTCAGCGCTGATGAGGAAATGATTTGGACTTGATGCCAGACTTGTAAAGTCGAGACACATGAGAGTGATTCCAGCTGTGGCTCTGATCAATATTGCTGCGCTGGAGGCCGTTTCACCTCCCCAAAATGAAATCAGAGAGTTATTGAAAGTGTGTGTGTGTGTTCTTGATTATGAGAATAAGACCCCGGGCTGAAAAATACTACACTTCTAAGTCGCTGTTAACACGGAACCCATGATGAACTTCCCCCAAAATAATAATAATAATAATAAAAATATCAAGGCATTTTTCTACACTTTGTTTTAATCCTGTCAGCTGAGACAAAACGCCGACTGTACTGAACATTTTCCTCATCAACACAAACACGGGATGTCATGTTCATGTAGAAACATTTCATTGGTTATAAGGACATAAAAAGCTACTTCAGTTTAATCAGTTGGGTGATAAATTAACCGCTTCAACTTTGCTCCCAGGTGGTAACTGTGCACTTAAGGTCAGATTTATAATACAGTGGTTATCTTTACCTTCTGCCTGCTCACTGACACTTGCACTATACACGTCTATAGTACTTCAATCCTTTGTTCTTTACGAGCCAGAAACAGAAAAAGTCTACAAAATGGACATCAAGTAAAAACCTAAATCTTCGGTTTGGAATGGAAATTTCAACGGTAGCAAAAAAACAAAAACAAAAAACATTCATGTTTATTGACATTTCATGATATTCTAAACCTTGCAGGGCTTTGTAGGCAAGAGAGCATTCCAATACTTCAATGTGGACTAAATGATAGTATAGCATGGCCTGTAGTAAGAGTCCACAGTGCTAATCCTCCCAGATACCCTGACGGCCCTCTGTATGTGAATGTTTGGGATGTTTGGAGGGAGGCGGGGGCTCTCACCGTCACCCTACAGCAGGAGGAAGTCGGGGAAAAGGAGGCGAATGGAAAAAAGGAGGTAAATATAGAAACGACCACACATAAACGTGTGCGTTTCTCTGAGTGGAGGGGTAAAGCAGGAGACTGACAGTGGTTTATAAAGGACGACGCAGAGGTACCCGGAGATGGTGCAGGAGTACGGGAGTCTCCGACAGTATGATGGGGGAGATTTGAGGGCAGTTCTGGGGGCAATCGCAAGGCGCCGGCCCCTAACTAGAAGGTCTTCCTGTGGATGGCACGTGCTCTGTCTTCTTCGTATTCCCGCTTCGACACCCACATCTTTTTAAAGGTGTCCAACGATGCCAGGATAGAGCCGCTGCCGGGAGGAAAAAGGCCAGTCAGATCACAGGTTTTATCAAATGTCACGCTTCTCATCCTTATTCATGGGTCAACACTGAATTCTTACCCAATCCATGTGGAGTACAGCCTCTCCTGGGGAGCAGAAATCTGGACAGGAAATAAAGCAACGACCAGTCACAAAACAAATTTTTTACAGAGCATTCAAGATGTGTGACTGTTAACGCCTCGCGTCCACACAGCTCAGCTCACGTCTCCTGTCCTTCAGCAGACACATTTCTAATGTAGCTCAAGTTGTTTTGTGCTCGCTTTGCGTGTTTTATAATAAAAACTGAGCTAAATACACATTTGCATGCTTATTTCGATGTGACGACATGCTGTGTGACTGTAATTTAAGAAAGAAAAAGTAAAACCGAGCTGAGATGTAGCAGCAGAAAACTGTCCATGTCTCCCTCTCTGAGTACATGAATTAAAATCTAATTCAAAAGGCTGAAAAATTAATCAATATTATCAATATTACAGTGTGGCCAAAGCCGCTTTTCCACTGCACGGTACCAGCTCGACTCGCCTTTTTTTGGTTTTCCATTGTGGAAATGTTGTACCTGCACCTGTGACGTGAAAACACAGCAGACTGCTGATTGGTCAGAGAGAATCGTCACTATTCACTGCATCATCATTGCTGCACCAGACAGAGGCCAGCGACAGAAAGTTTTATATTTTACAGTTTTCATACATTATTTCATCACTAAATCCACTTCTGAGAAGTTTTGAGGTGACAAATCAGCTGTGTAGATTTCGAATATTGACAGTTTTACGAAAAGTGATGGCGGAACAAAAATGTGCTTGAAAGTTTTCGGAGTTGAGGAGCTACGCAATTGGCGGCGGGGGAAGCCTGCGCCAACCCGCGGGAGGAGCGTGTGAGGCGTCGCAATGACGACCGGCTAAATTGAGGGGTACTATCTGCAATGGAAATCGGAGGATGCTTTCCATCGCAGACGAGGCGAGCTGATCTGATACTGGTAATGAAAAAACGGCACAAGTGTCACATCCAAATCGCAGGAGCTGCAGTTTCTTGATAAAAGGTAAAATGTGTCACAACATGCCGTTATAAATAGGGGCACTGTGGCGCTACAGAGACGTGGCCTGGCCTACAAATCATATTCTCCAGTCATGATGGAACAAGCTTGTTTGGTCTGGAGCCCATCAAAAATCACACCGTAACAAATTTAAAAGCACAAATGACCATTCTCTCTGTCAATAATAATAATCAAATAATCAATATATGATTTTATTTGCGGATTATCTTTCAGCCCTAATGTGTTTAAAACAAAGTCCGTAACTAATTAAATACATCATAAATAATAATAAGTGCCAAAAAATACATTCTCAGGTTAATTTCAGGCTCCAGAAAGTGTAAAGATGGTGCAGCAGAGAAAGAGACGTTACTCATTGACAGGCATGTCACGTAGACCCAGTGCAGCAAACTGAACAACAAAAACTAAACCTACCTTGATCTTCACGTCTTTGGGTGCGAGCTTCTTGACTTCAGTTAGTAGTCTTTCCCCAAAGCCTGGAAGAAAAGAGACAGATTCAGTGAGTGAGCGTTTATATCTGTGAGACAGAGGGTTGGTTATTTATTTCTCTTATTAATATTTGGTATTAGAAGCAGCGACAGCCCAAAGGCATTTTCACATAAAAGCAGAAAAACAAGGGCGTCGTATTTTCCCCTCCTGTAGTAAACGCCACCACCTTAGCTACAGTGCTAATGTTGCTAGCAGGAGCGTATTAAAGACTATAGCGTTTAAGAATAGAGGGCTTTAACAGGTGAATGACTACCTTCCATCACTTAACACCAACCTTTGATCAATGTCGATCCCCCACACAATACTATAGTGGAGAACAGTGTGCGTCTGAGGTCCATGTCAGACTTCTGGATAGCATAAGCCAGGACCTCGTGGATCCCCGAGCTTTCATCTCCTATCAGGTCGGGTCTGAACAGCAGCTCTGGAGCGCGGAACCTGGCCGGGCCGATCTAAAAAACAAAACAAGGTCACATTTCAGGGTTTGTGGTCAGGATGGGGAGGAGGTTTTCACAGAGGAGGAAGATTTTGAAACACTGAACGTCCTTCCAAAAACACTTCTCAGCATCAGTTCGACTCACGTTTAAAGTGCTTCCATCAGGGAGAACATACTGAGCCTTCTCTGTCTCTAAAGTCTCGTCCTTTTGCGGGTTGAGAGATAGATAACAGGCTCTCTGCAAAGTTGGAAACACGTTTGATTAGTATTCATAAAGTTCTTCAGATTTCAAACCAATTCACACGGACCACCGTACCTCTTTGACGGTGCGAACAACCTCGAACTCTGCGGAGGTGTTGAAGTTGTAGCCTTCCTTGCGCAGCAGCAGACGGAGATACCGCGAGACGTCTCGCCCAGCAATGTCCACGCGCATGATGGAGTGTGGGATGGCAAAGCCCTCGTAGATTGGCACCACGTGGGTGACACCATCCCCTGAATCCAACACAACACCAGTGGTACGACCTGTGGCGTACCTGCAAGAAACAGAGGCCAGTCACGTCCCATTTACAGACCACAGGATCCACGCTTGTCATGTCCTTCTAATCAGTATGTTTCTGTGTGATAAAGGTTCAACTGAACCAGGAAGTGACGCAAAAGGTCTGGAACAATGTTTAGGTTCACTTCAGTCCTAAAATCACGCTGCACTGACACTAAGGAACACCAGGAACCTCCGGGTCGGAAAAGTGAAGACAATGCTGAAGTGCCTTAAACCTGCATTCTTTCTAACAGCCAGCAGGGGGCGACTCCACTGGTTGCAAACATTGACTGTATGTAAGAAGTGGACGTAGTCATCGTGACGTCACACGCTGGTTTGTGGACTGCCGTTTTGAAGCCTCGAGTTTGGCTGGGACTTCAACATTGCAAAAAGAAGTCAGATTGTATAAGAATATGAGAAAATGTTTCTACTTGTCAGCTGATTTATTCCCTCAGTAAACACTTTCCTGATGAGTTTATGGTCTCAGTCGCTAGTTTCAAGTCTTCTTCAACACAGCATGATGTTCATTTAGTAAATTATGGTCCCATTTAGAGGAACAGAGACCAGAAAGCAGGGGAGGCTTTAGGGCGGGGCTATCTTGTGATTGACGGCACCACCTTAGCTACAATGCTAATGTTGCTAGCAGCAGATCGCTACATTTCAGACACTGTTTTTATAGCAAACCTGCACCTTAAACTAAAATTATATTTCCACATCTGTGTAGCCATGAAGTTCTGAAAGATGTACATTTTCTTCTCCTTGAGGGTCTGCACAGATATCTGTGTGTTGCCCGAAAGTCACGAACACACGAAGGACGTACATGTGCTTCAACTGGAGAAATTCATGTGATCACGAGTCTGCTGCAGCTTCATGTTCTTCTCTTCTCAACTGAATGGTTTTTGTTTAGGGTATAATGCTCATGGTGAGCTGTCAATCAGGATAGAAGCGACTTCTCTCTGCTGCACTTTGTATCTTTAACCAGCGCAGGTGAAAAAGCTTATTAGGAGTCGGCTGTAAATTTTTCTGGTAAGGACATTTTGTTTTAAGCTAGTTAATATCAGGAATTACGGATGCACCTTGCAAACCAAGCAAGCCCTCTCACCCAAATATGGTCAAGGATCCTTGAAATGATGCCGTTTGTAGTAACTTCTGACACTGTGTGAGCTCGTCATAACAGAGGAGTGTCAAACCAGCTGATGATTCTTCTTCTAGTTTTAGAGATTGCGTGCGTGTCTGCTGCAGCTTAATGTTCTTCTCCTCTAACCTGGCTAACTGGATGGTTTTTGTTCAGGGTTTAATCCTCAGTAAAATGTAGATTTAGTATCAAACAAACAGGGGCGGCCACTCCTGTTTGTTTTACAGTAAATGTTTTTTAACATTTGGTAAATTGTGCAGATAGTGTGGTTAACAACAGGCCTTTCTGACGCACCAACACCTTCTACTCCACACAGAGCCTCTGCCTCACTCCAGTCAGCAGTTATGTGAGCGTGATTAACAGTTTTTTTGTATTCAAACCACGAAGAAGTTGCAGAACTCAACATAAACCGAGGAGTTGTACCTCATAAAGTGGATGCTGGGTGGATACTAAACTGAAGTACAGAGCCATTAAACAGGTGTTTGTCCGTGAAATGTAATGTGTACTTACAAGCTAAGGACAGCCTGCATGGAGATGAAGAGAGCAGGAACGTTGAAGGTCTCAAAGAAAACTTCCGCAGCCTTCTCCCTGTTCTTGCTGGGGTTGAGGGGAGCTTCAGTGAGCAGCACAGGATGCTAGCAAAGATACCGAACAGGACAGGATTACTGACGCTGCGACATCAGATCTACCAAGAATGTGACCCGATTATCATGTAGCGAGAAGAGAGGCGCTAACCTCCTCGGAGAAAGTCTGCAGTTGCTCCTTGGAATAAACGTACTGCCAGATCCTCTCCATGTCATTCCAGTCCTTCACTATCCCGTGCTCCATCGGATACCGAACCGACAACAAACCCCTGTGCTCCTGATGATCACAGACAAAGACAAGGGATTAATTATCAAGGAAAAAAAAATCAAGGATTGAAGCTAAAATGCATTTGTAAATTTGCATTATTTCACCATTTCTGGGTTCCTTTCTTTGTACAAAAGATTTGGTAATGCTCTTTCAGGCTACTGAGACAATGATTTAGTCACATGCTTCAAAAACTGCAGATGTTATGAAGGAAACTAACTGTGGACATACGGATGTATTTTGAACTTGTGTTTGTATTAATTGCGTTCTTAGTGTTTGTGTCTACCTGTCCAGTGGATGCACATGGAAGCAAGCTAGTTGCTAAATCTCATCTCTTCTCCTTGCAGTGTTTCCCATACGTTCATTTATTTGTGGCGGCTCGCCACAATATCAACACTGACCGCCACATATTGATTTTTTTACTAGGCCTACTTAAAATCGTAGCTCACTCTCTCTCCCTCATGAACAGAGCTGCACAAATCTGTCCAACACAACGCTCTGAATGTCGGAGACCCAGTTTAAAAACGTTATTAGCAAGCATGTAAGGAGCCTAGCTACTAAGGAGAGCTAAGTTAATGTTAGAAAACAGCTGGGTTTTTGAGGCTAGCACTGCCTTGTATGAGATTAATGTTTTTTCTACATGACAACTCCCTGAAAACTAAACGTTGTTCACTAAACTACAGCAGCTGTTGTCTCTGACTCTCACATGACATCTCAGCTTGTTTTTGCCTGAAGGCCCGAGGGAGACAAAGCGGAACAAAGTTCTGGGATGTGATAAAAACCGAGCTTTAGAGATATCAAACTAAATGCTAGTATGATCCCAACTCTGCACACCAGCAGGCACACAACACTCCCACCATGAAGCCTGGCGGTGGCAGCATGATGATGTGGGGAAGCTTCTCTGCAGCCGGTCTACGTCTTCTAAAAAATATTTTTGAGACATTTTTATCCCTTTATTAAATATAATAGAGAGACGACATGGGGAGGGGGAGGTGCAACAACAGTTGTGGACAGGTTGTGGTTCATGGTGTACGTCTTTAGGCCTAAGCTACAAGGGTGCCCCTGGTGTTTTGCTCATTTCTGGTTGTTCCATTTATTGGAATCAGCAAACCCCAGCTTTGTGGGCGGGATTAAATATCGGGGCGCCATTTTTATTTTTATTTTTATTTTTTTACATAGCAAGCTGGCTGTGTAGCTACATCTGTGCAAAATAGCAACAGAAAAATGGTGACAAGTTGGGATGAGAGTTTACATACAGAAATATCAACTCCTAAATCAACACAATTATTTGATCTGCACGACAAAAAATATGCTAACAGTGTTTCCCGCAGAGGGAACGGCAGGTATAATTCTATTTCTAATATAAAGTTGCCAAAACAACACAGATCTAGTATTCTGGATTTGTCCATTTTCACAACAGCAGGTGCACCACATGTTGAGGAGGCTAGTTAATGAAGTAGCCTACTGAAACGCTCAAAACCAACGTATATGTGGGGAACTGTAACAGCTCCCAGTTAATGCTCCGCAACTTCTGACACAGACTGACAGGACAATATAAGTATTATATTGTCCTGTGTGTGTTTTCTTGAGAGCAACGTGGTAGAAGAACCTGTTATTATATTGTATTATTGTATTGATTCCTATGGTTCTTATACAGACGACAATCTTGAACTTGGCTGTACAATAACAGAAAGAACTGGAAGAGCTCCAAAGAGTTTAAGATGTGTTCCACACCTTCCTGGTAATGTCACTGTCACAGGTCCAAAATCTCCAGTGCATTACAGATTACTGGGGGAATAGAGGTGATTTGTTTTTGTTGAATTTGTAGTTATATTTCTGAATAAAAGTACACATTGTGCACAAACATATCTTCAAGGCATTATCTGGAAGAAGTCCTCCTGTGTGATTCTGGAGTTTGCTGCCTAAAAATTCCTCCATATACAGGAACTGATGTAAAGAAAGCAGAAGTGTGTGTTTGTGTCTTACTTCTGCCTTGGGTCCGATAAAGAGGTCTCCCTCCAGGGCCCCTGCCATCACACGCACATGCTTGGGACGCCCCACACTGTGCAGCACACACAGAGAAATGAACAGTCAGACAGTAAATATAACACAGACAAGTATGCAGAATTGAGTTAAACTAAACATATCTGACAGCAGATATGAGCTGAAAGTTTCAGAAAATTAATCTGCAACTTTTCTGATTTCAGTTTATTATTTGTCTCACTTTTCAAGCAAAAATGCCACAAAACATTTGTTGGGATCAGCCTCTTAAATGTGTATAATATTTTCTGCTTTGCTCTCTGTTACAAGATTGTAAATTACACATCTTTGGGATTTACACTCAGAATCAGAGAGAGCTTTATTTTCAAGTTATATTTTACACATACCAGGAATTTTCTATGGTGATTAGGTGCCAGACAAAGACATAAACATACAGCTGACATAAATAACTTTACAAAATATACAAATATTGAATAAACAGATGCAAGTTACAAAAGAATTATGGAATAACTCTGTGTAAAAGAAAAACAAAACAACGTGGCAGTTATTTACATGTGCATTACTCTGGATTTGTGTTTTCCAAACGTACTACAGGTGGAGAGGATTTGTACTTATACAAATATAAAACTGACAAAATATAAAAGAAGAATAATAAGGAATATGTGCACAACTCTGAATATGTCACAAAATTCTGGCATTTAAAAACACTTTAATTAATCAATAAAATCCTCGTTACTATAAAGTTAACATTATACATACTACATATGATCCTTTTAATCTAGGTGCTGTTGGAAGAGGTCAAGCAACACTTACTAGTTAGGGAAACAGTATTTGGGGATCTGGTCGCCTGCAAAACCAGCCTTGATAACCCCCGAACCCTAAAGAAAAGACAGGCATGACATTTAGGCCCAAAATCACAGAGTTATGGTTGAACTAAGAGCAGCGAAGCTTTAATCTCTAAACAGTGCGAGAGGTCATAAGACACAACCTGAGGCCACCAGCAGTCACACACTCATGCTCAGACACCAGCAGCCAGAAGAAACACTGTGTGTCCTAGATCGCTGCTGTCTCAAGAGCTACTTTGTCCTGTGCTGTCATGACTAGCAAGGCCGACACTATAAATATATAAATATGCATTTACAGCAGACGACGTCCTAAAGTCTGTTTCTGTTGCATTCATTTGAGTTTCCCTTTAACCTAACGCCAACCACAGCGTGCAGTGTTATTTGAAGGAATGGGAGAGGTTTTTTGAGGAGGGAACAAATTTACACACAACACTGATGTTACGGCATAATGTATCTGAATTTCAGCTCCAATGACAATGCAAACGTTTTTAAACATACTTCACCACAAACTATTTTCTGATGAGATAGCTTGTTCGATGTATGCGTTTACCAAATATCAACAGGTGAGGTGTTGCGCTCTGCAGACACACCTGTAAGCTTCCTCTACAGTTTCTGCTTTCACAGCCATAAAAGTACGTGTGTTTTCCTGTGTCAAAGATCAGATTATTAACAATCAAAATGTTTGCTTAGCAGCTATTCTGGCGCTCTGTATATTAATGGAGGAGAACAGGTATTGGCAACACCTGCCAAAAGAGAATATATAACACAGATTAGCAATGGCACTAACATATAGCTAGCTGGAAATCTATTCGGGTCACAGAATATAGTGTAACACCGGCAATCAAAAACGTGCTGTTTGTATTCCTTTAACTGCATTGCTAACATCCGTGTGCTCAAAGCAAAGCTACTGTTTGTGCTTCATATGAAGACACAAAGCCAGCTATAGAAAGAGTTTTATCTGGATCTGGTCTACATGTAAAAGTAAAAAACAACAGCATATAAATCGTCCTTTTTAGGATTTCCACTAACAGAATAAAGGTTTCACAAATCTGAAACTTTTTCCCATAAAGTTTAGCCTCTCTGGGACAATTTAGGCCAGATTTGACAGCTCCAGTTTTTTTTTTTTTATCTTGATCTGGTCCAATGTGGTCTACATGTAAAAAAAAAACAAAAACAAAAATAAACAGCATATAAATCGTCCTTTTTTGGATTTCCACAAACAGAATAAAAGTTTCACAAATCTAAAACAGTTTTAAAGTAACGTTATCCTCTCTGGGACAATCCAGTCCAGACTTGACAGCTCTAGGCATAGAGGTTGTTTTTTTTTTTTTATCTGGACCTGAACTTTCCCCTGACCTGCTGAATCGGACGCTCACAGCGACGCTGCTGTTTGTGCTTCATATGAAGACGCAGTTAATCGGCATCGTGTTCAGCTAATGCCTCGGAATGAATCTTACATGCATCTCTTACATCCTTGACAGCTCAGTCCGCTATGCTAGCTGTTTAGCATTTCGATCCAGCTCCAGTACCACGGACAGCAAACCGAAGCTTAGCTAGCCGGTTAGTGCTGCTGTAAGCTAGCTACAGCTTTAGCTAGCTCTGGATAAATCAAGGTTCGCTATACATACTAGCAGCTGGAGCAATGCCAACGTCGTTTAACGTGCAATGCCGGTAACTACTGCACAACTAACGAGCGTGACCGAGATCCACAATCTATACTGTTAGCTTTAACACAATAGCTCTGTAAGCTAACAGCTAGCCAGCCAGCGGCCTCGGTTTGGGTGTGGATGAATGACATCATCATACTTACATTATCAATCACAACAGGCTGGTTAGCTAAAATGTCATAGGATTCCATGACGGACTGTGTATTTAAGATATGTTTCTATCGATCCGTGTGTGTATTCCTCCCGGTTTAGTGTTTTAATCATGTAAATGACAACACGCCCTGTCACTGTGCACTCCGCCGTCTCGACGCCCCGGTGCTGCTGCTGCTGCGGAGGAGGAGGGTCTGACCGCCTCCCTACCACAACAACATCGGATTGACTGACAGGAGAATCGGCCAATCACCTTCACTAGTTTCTTGACTGACAGGAGGGTTAACCAATCACAGCGTTTAACCATGTGGCCATGCGTTACTGTCAAAGAGCAGCAGCGTTTTAGTCCACCCTGTAATGTGTAAACCACAACATGTCTTTGTGAAAATAATACCCAGTTAATATTTTCTTGTTTATTCTGATCTATTGGGTACGATTAAATAATAACTATACGTTTATAAAGAGTACTCAGCTCAGCATTTACAAAGGGTTTATACGTTTTAATACTTGATAAATTATTTTCTAAAGTCTCACAGATCAGGTATGAGGTCATAAATAATTTTAGATTGCCAGTAAAAATCCATTTGGGGTTTTTTTTTGCTTTCTATTTAGTGATAATGAGGTGGTAATTCATTTATCAGTGCTAATGTGTTTCACACTTTCTAATAAGCCATCAAGTGTGCAGCTATACGACATGATGAAATGTCTTTAATAAAGGGGTTTAATCATCATTTGTGCAGTTATAAGTGTTAATACATCACGAATTAAAGGTTCTAGCCATTAAGTGTGCAGTTATGGATGTTAAAATGTCATTAATAAACTGTTTCAATCATCATGTCTGCTGATGTAAGTTTAAATATTCAAAATACACTCGAGTAAAGTACAAAAGTATCAAAAGGCAGAATTCACTTTGCACAATGGACCCCGTTTGGATAATCATTTGGATAACATGCAAGTAGGAATTAAATGAGTTGTCGGTGGAAGAGACCCTCATTTTAATTGATTTAAATACTGGGTATCTCAATTAATGAAACTATTTTTAACAATAATGATAAAATTTAAAATATGAAGCCCTCTGAAATGTAGTGAAGCAGCGGTATAAATAAGCATAATGAGGATAAACTCAAGCAAAGTACAGGCACGACGTGATACTGAATCCTGACATACTGAAGTACAGTACTAGAGCGAATATTCTTAATTATTTTCCTCCTCTGATTGTTTGTTGTCGCCAAAACAATGACACGGACGGTGTTTTCACGCCGAAAGTTAGAATTCTGTGGTTTCCCGCAGGCCCTGAATGCAGCAATCACCGTCACAGCTGCTGACCAATCAGAACGCTTCTTGGAGCCCGGCCACCGACCAATCATGAAGCTGTAAATGCTTAGCTAACATGCTCTTGTCCGGGCCGTGTGAGGAAAACACAGCGCAGAAGTTCGTGTTTGACAGTGAAAACTTGATATATTTAGACATATTTTTCAGGTATGTGGTGTTTTTATATTAGTATCACAGAGTCGTTTTTAAACTGAAAGGCAAAGAGGTTAGTTATACTATCTGTTAACGTGGTTTAGATGCTGTTTATAATGTAAAGTTAACACCTTCCTGAAGTTGACGTTAATGAGCTAACTCATGTTAGCATGAGAGTTTTATGAGGGCAGAAAACATAAGATAGTTAAAAGTCTGTGAAATTACAGGGCGATGTTTATGCTCTTTATTTTAAATTAAAACTATAGCTGCTAGCTTGTTTCGCAAGAAGAGTTTTACTATTGGTTTCAGTTTGTGTGTTCAGGTGCTTTGTCACACGTCTCACTTTGTGCACAAACTTTGGACTTTATAGAGTCTGTTTGGGGACAAAATTTGTGTCACTAGTTTGGTTTCACCATCAGGACCAAACATAAAGTGGTTTCTGTCTTCGGTTGGCGAGGATAAAGTGAAAGTAAATGTAAAAAGTAAAGTGCCAAAGTAAGCAGCTTTCTAATGTTGGCAAAGTGGAACAAATTTTTAATTAAGGTTTTTATATATATAAAATATAAAATTCTGTTGATCAGATTGATCTAAAATCAATATCTTCAAAATAACTGGTAACGTTATAGCTGTGACATAAATGTAGTGGGGTAACAGTTAGATTAGTTAGATACCATAAAATTTAAATTAATAACTCTGGGTTTTATTTTCTTGAATCATAGGCAGATAACTTCTATCAAAAAACAGACCAGGCCTGTGTTTATTTTTCCAAACATGTGTACCTGTATATCATATCCACCGTCAACATGTACATAATGAGAATAGTTTACTCTTGCATCCTTTGCACTCTGATTACTGCACTATTTGTCAATAAGTCTATATTGTTTGGTTCATAGTGTGTATATTAGTGTTGTCTACTCTGTAGTTTGTGTCTGATATTATTATTATTATTATTTATTATTGTATAAGTAAGCACATCATGAGCAATGTCCAATCCTGAGTCAAATTCCCCGTATGTGTACACATACCTGGCAATAAAACTGATTTTACTGCCAGTAAAAGGGACAGGCGTCTAACTGGGACTCGACTTTTAAGTGAAGTTTTACATTAAATGGTCAAGTAAAGTAAAATTACCTCAAACTTGTACTTAAGTGAAGTACTGTGGTGCTGCAGAGACGCCTTGTCCTACAAATGTTTTCCTTCAGACGTAATAAAAAAAAAAAAAAAGTTTGGTAAAGACCCCAACAATTAATATTTCTTTAATTGAAAATTAAAATTGTGATGCCAAAATTATCATTCCCGCTGATCCTTAATTATATCTCAAATTTGTAATAACATAATAGCAATAGGTTGTCTGTGTGTTTTTGTTGTTGTTGTTATTTTAAAGAATTGTGCAGCCTTAGTAGAAACCAAAGCTTAAAGGAGAGTAAATATTGGACTTTATCAGGTGGCCACAACTTCAGTGGGATGCTACTGTTGTTCAGTGAATGTTTATAAATGGCTTATGATAGTATGTCGTTATCACTTTATGCAGATGCAAGTTCTTGGCAAAATATACATTCCACCGTCATAAAAATAAACCCAACTGTTGCATGTGTGTCCGTGAATCAGTCAGTCTGTAAATGCTCATTTCACAGATCCTTGCTGGTCTGATGGGTTCATGATAACATCTCGGAGAGCAGAGCCCGTTCAGCACCATGGCCCTCGCTGAGGAGCAGCCTGAGAAGTAAGACCACACCTCCTGAGTGCGAGTCATGTCTTATTGCACCATTTCATTCATCCATGAGTTGTTATGATGAAGGCATTGCAATTCTCTAAATCAGTCACATTATCTGTACATGACTCGTATGGAAAAAATCTGACATGTTCTCACTTGAGGTGAAATCTGCTGTTAGGAATGGCATGAGGACGAACGTGTTACTGAAGTCATGTTGCTCTTGAATCTTTTAAATGGTTTCTTTACTGCTGCGAGCTCCACAAGTGAAACTCCTCTCCATCGTATTTGGGTGGTGATAGAAGTCTCAAACGGATATCAGGACAAATAAAACCAAAGCTTATCTGCATCATCCTTCGTGCGTGCATCATAAGAGGAAATAAATATCGTACTGTGAAGAGGATCAGGTTTGACTGGTGTGAGAGATGGGAAATCAAAAGCAAAACAATGGAAGGTGAAAAGCCTGATTATTAGTAACCCATTATTGAAATTATGAAGATTCTACAAAACTGTTGGAATAATGGTGTGAAGCACTTTGAAACACCTTGTAGTTGAAATGTGCTATACAGATAAACTTGCATTGCAAGATACCACTAGGGGTAAATTATTTATTTATCTATCTGTCGTTATTGGTTAAACTAAAAAGTTTAATGGTCTAAACATGCAGCTTGCAGGGTGTGTGTTTCGTACATAATACCTCCATGATTGTATTTTGGACATGCAGAAAAGGAAGTGGCTGTGATTGGTTCCTACATAAGCTCACTGCACTGTAGCTTTTGATGGTTGATCTAGCCTGTTTGTAATTTGACTGACATGTTAGTAACACTGTGTTTTGTCTGTCTGTGTGCATGTGCTGTCCAGACACTGTTGGGTGTGTTTTGCCACTGAGCGAGATGACCACAGCGCAGAGTGGGTGAGCCCCTGCAGGTGTAAAGGCTGCACTAAATGGATCCACCAGTCGTGTCTGCAGCGCTGGCTGGACGAGAAGCAGAAAGGAAACAGCGGAGGAGCGGTGAACTGTCCGCAGTGTGGCACTGAATACCACATCACCTTCCCCAAGATGGGTATGTGAAGCTTTACAACAAGAATGGCAAGTCTCTGAAGTCCAGAGAACGTCCAGGTCAACTGGTCACACAGCAAAAAAACAAACTTCATGGACTTTATGGCAGAGCAAGGGGAAAAGATTGTTATTATTATTATTATTATTTAGATTGGCATATTGGTTGAACGCCGGCTGGTTTCAGACACGCAGGATCTCTGTCAGGTTGAAAATGGTTAAAAAAAAAATTTTTTTAAACGCATGAAAGCCATTTGAGGTTGAAACTGGATGCCATAAAACCAAATACCCAACAAAATAAAAGCATTTCATATCACTTTTCTCTTTGCTCTGGCTAAAGTCCAATTTATAGTCTCCACATCCACGCCGTTGCGAGGGTCTGTGTGACGTACATTTTTGCCAGTGTGATCAAATTATTCTTTTCCTCCTGTGCTATCAAGTAAAGAAACTCCGATAGGAAGATTTAACACATTTCAAATGGCACGTTTGATTAGTTCAGCGGCAGTAACTACAGTTCACTGTCTTTAAGGATAAAGCTGTCAGTATTCTACTTTTTATTTATTTATATTTTTGATGTTTACGTATCCTCTGTGCAGACTGTGGCCCAATCTCAATTTTCCTCCTAAGCTCTAAGCCCTGAACCCTCACAGACTTATTTCACTTCACCTGGTAAGTGATTGAGTGTAGCGAGGCTGCAAGGGCTCAAAATGCAATAAATTTGTGCCATTTCAGCAGAATGCAACTTACAAAAATGGTGCATAAAGGGCTCAAAATGCAATAAATTTATTCTCTTAAAAGGCGGGTTTGCCGTGATTTTTCTCTCTTCCGGGCTTCCCCCTCGGGAAACTTCTGCAGAAATGCAACTTACGAAAATGATTTCACAGTCAGATAGCCTCACAGGGAACGCTCCTCAAAGTCTGAGTGAAGACATTGAGATTGGGCCTAAAACAAACAACGAGACAGTCTGTCGCCCAACACTGTCTGACTTCCTGTCTGTGGCTCTCAGCTCCAAGCTTATTGGTTCCTACTAGAGACGTAAATCTTTAAAAACACCTCACAAATATAATAGTTTAATGTTGAAAACGTGATCTCTACGGCCCGGAGGAAGAAGAAATATCAGGCCGTGATACACACACGCACACACACAAGGCTTGATAGGATCTGGATTTGTTGACACGAAGAAAAATATAGAATATGACGAGCTTAAAGTGTTTTCTTGCCTTTCCTCAGGCCCGTTGGTGTATTTCCTCCAGCAGATAGACAGAGCTCTGTCACGGGCCAGTCCCTTCGCTGCTGTCGGCGTGGTGGTCGGGACCGTCTACTGGTCGGCTGTCACATACGGAGCTGTGACTGTCATGCAGGTCCTCACAGCTAACAATAAATTAGCACAGAACGAATGTAAAACCTGAGAGAGTTACAGTCTGCAGGACCTTCACCTTGTTATATGTTCACATGCAGGTCGTGGGACATAAGAAGGGCCTGTATGTGATGGAGCGAGCCGACCCCCTGTTCCTGTTGATGGGTCTGCCCACCATTCCTGTGCTGTTGGTCCTGGGAAAGATGATCCGCTGGGAGGATTATTTAGTGAGACTGTGGCAGAGATACTCCTACAAAGGGAAGCTAGGTACATACTCACTCTGTGATATAAACGGTATCAAATGATCACAAAACATCACCAGAAATTAAGTTACATTGCTGGACAAAGTTCAACCAGTCACATCACATAGAGTGAGATTAGGATTATAAAGTTATATAGTTTCAATCTATAGTTTTATTTTATCAGTATCAAGGATTTGCTCATTTTCTTTGTGATTTATGATCAGAAATGTAATATGTTTGGACGGATGTCAACTTTAGGATGTATTTTATGGACTAAATGATTTATTAAGAAAATAATCAGGAGAACCGCGACGTGCATACATTTGTCGGCCGCACAGCACTAACGCAAAGCTCTGCACGAGACCGGTGAATGGCAGGCGAGCAGAGCAGAGAGGAAATGATCAACAATACGCCTCAGTTTATCTGTAACGTTAAATGTACAGTGTAAGTTACAGTGACTAATGAATAGAGGCTGCAGTTCTGCAGCTTCTACCGTGCCCCTCCCGCTCGCAATCGGCGTGCACAAACACACACTGATCAGTCGACTATGGGCAAGACTTCTGATTCCACTATGTAAAACGTTAGTCGGGACAGCCCTCACTATGGACATGCACATCATTAGATATGTTAGATTCTCCACAATTTAATCATTGAGTTCATTTTACAAAAACAATCCAGACTTACTGGTAAGGTTAACAAGAGAGATGCAAAGTGCCTAATTTTTAAGTACAGGTGCATCTCAAAAAATTTGAAAATCGTGGAAAAGGTTACTATGAGCACCAGAACCAGACTGAGAGAGTAAAGATGAAACCTTTGCAGGTGTTTGCAGTTAATCAGCTGATTAGAGCTCTTTTCAGCTCAACATTTATGTATTATAAATTCTTTATTTTGAAATTTTAAGTTTAGACTTCCATGAGCTGTAAACTGTAATTATCAAGATTAAAACAAAAAAGGCATGAATGTAGAATATATGAAAGTTTCAGTTTTTGAATTAAATGAATTAATATTTCCACAAAATTCTTTTAAAGGCACCTATAATAGTCATACTAGTAAACACCTTGATAGTAGCATATTTCCCATCCTTGCTGAGCAAGACTCTTGCAAAAGCTAGAAACTCCATACAGTTGGTTTAAGGTGGAGCGAGCAGCGGGAGAGTAAAGTTTATCTCCTTAGTCAAACATACTTAAATCACTTATGAAAAACTGGCATCATCAGGCACTGGTGGAAATGTGAATCATGTCAGGTATATGTAGTTTTGAGGAATCCTACATTAAGTACAGAACCAAACAGACTACAGCCGAATGACCAGACGTGTGTTTTACCTCAGGCACCAGCCGTTATCTGCCCCGTGTCCCTGACGGGGCCGGTACAGGAGACCACGTCTCTGTGTCCAGGACTCTGTGTGGAGCTCTCATCTTTCCCTCCATCGCCAGTCTGGTGGGAAGGCTACTGTTTAGACGGATGCCCTCTAATCTTCAGCGCACTGTACTGGTGGGTTTACCTCATGCGATGTAAATCTTTATATCTGGGCCACAAGTCACGTAGTTTTAATATCACATCATTAGTCCACTTGTTCTTTTTACACCATTCTGTTCTCTTCCGTCTTTCCTCGCAGGGAGGCATCGCGTTGTGTTGATGAAGGGCGTGATGAAGGTGTATTTCAAACAGCAGCAGTACATCGTTCAGGCCAACCGGCACATCCTCAACTACCCAGACAGCAACGGAGACGGACAGAATGAAGGTACAGATGAGGAAACAGAGGACAGCGGAAATGAGTAGTGTTGCTAAACTCGGAAAGAGGCCAGAAAAGGAAAACCTGCGTGGTCAGAGACGATCGTAAAAAAAGTTTTTTACCATAAAACAATGCACAACATTGATCTTTTAAACTACGGTGAGTGCTCATGTAGACGAGGAGAAGGGTTTGTTTGTTTAAAAAAGGAGTTTGCTTTGCTTAATTAGAGCTGCCAATAACGAGAACCGTACTATTGATTTTAAGAGTTTCCAACCAGAGGAACCTTTTACTTTGTCATTATCCAACATCTGCGTTAAACAACACAAGTACAAAATGACAACCTAATTCTCACAACTAGCATTAACTCTGTAGCAGATGTTAGTGGCCACTTCTGTCCTTAAGTTCTAGCCTCAAAGACAAAGATACTTAAAGATATATTTAAAAAGAGGGCCTTATCTTTTCATATGGTCAACTTTCTTCTTAAACGTCTTTAAACCTGGTTCAATTATTGCCGTCTAATTATTTTTGCATGTGCAGGACAAAGACTTCAGACAGGGAAAGAAACTGTGAAGGCAGAGCGGATGAACGAAAGGAAAGATCATCATTATTATTATTATTATTATTATTATTATCATCGCGCTTAGAGAAACATCCTCGTATTTAAAGATGATTCCATCCAAAGGCCGAGCCGTTTCCACCGCTGAAGTTTTTTAATGTAAAATTCACACAAACACAGACCCATTCACAATGTAAAAAAGTTAAAACAAGGTCAGGGTAGGAGAGAAACCCGCTGCATGTATTCAGATTCACAGGGACCAGGTTACTGCAGTGCACGTAAAATTCTGATTACCTGGGATCTGGAGTCTGATATGAACGTTCAAACACAGATAGATGTCGTCTCCGACATCATTCTCACTTAATAAGCCTCACCAGTGTATATTAATGTCTTCCTTTTTAATGTGCCTTATTTGCACTTTTCCATAACATAACCAGCTTCACTCGTACTGGACTATAACATGCAGGCATAAACCGCTGGCCTACAATTTCCCCAGTGACAGTTTTTCTTGACGCGTCTAAAGCCTTTTTGGGCTCTAAATGTTCTGACCTTCAGCAGCAGAGTGTTTGCTGTTTTAATGAAAGGGTGGAGCTGCTGTTTGCAAACACAATCGTGACCTACTATGAACTTTGATCCTGTTATTTCATGCAACTGACTTAACTTGAGTAACTTTTTAATGCTCACACACAGTTCACAAGGTCTTCTGTTCTTCCAGACGGGGTTGTGATGTGTTTTTATTTAATTTCTTTGAATCGCACATGCTTGCAGACTGAAGTAGTGGATGCTATAGGGATACGGCCGGGGAAGTGTGAGGCGCTCCCACAGCTCCCAGTACTAACCGGAGACCCAAAGCATTTAATAGTTTAATTGTTTAAAGTTTAGTAGTCGAGGTTTCGGTTAGTAGGCGATTGTTTTCACTTGTTGCACTTCCTCTTGCGGCACGGCTAAAGCAGAGCTGCAGAGTTGTTTAAAAATTTGTTCAGTTAAAAATAAAAGTTTGATGTTTACTTTTGATTTGGAGCGTTTTAATTTAAAAATAAAGCAAAAAAAATATGCCATGGGCAAATTAAATTGTTGTTGGGGTTTAAAACTAAAAAAGGAAGTCCTGGCCATCATATGGCTGAGGAAGTTTCTTAAAGCATTTTGGTTTCTTTGATAATTGTGTCCTTTTGTCTTCTCTTTTTTTGTCAAATGAACATGCTCATGGACTTTTAATTGCACAATTTCTTGCAGTCATTATATGTATATTAAAAGGCTCTCATATTTTATGTATTGGTGAATGATTTGTTTAATAAAGGCCTTTGTAAATTTAGTGTGTAATTTTTTTTATTACTCCTCACAACAACAACAAAAAGGTAAGTAAAAAGACGCCTTATTTTCAAATCAAAACTCGCACAGACTGTTTACTCTGAGGGCCAGACAAGATATACAGGTGCTGGTCATATAATTAGAATATCATCAAAAAGTTGATTTATTTCAGTAATTCCATTCAAAAAGTGAAACTTGTATATTATATTCATTCATTACACACAGACTGATATATTTCAAATGTTTATTTCATTTAATTGTGATTATTAAAACTGACAACTAATGAAAATGTTGTGGGAGAAGTTACAAGTTAAGAGTCCTATATTCATTAAGTAGAAGTATCAGCATCAAAATATACCAAAGGTAAAAGTCCTTATTATGCAGAATCGTCCATTTTGAAATGTAATGTACACAACCGGGCAAAAGTTTTAGAACACCCCCATTTTTGTAGTTTTTATTGAAATATAAGTAGCTAAAGTCCAGTGAAAAACCTTAAATGGAACAAAAATCTTGGAACGACCTGTTAATACACCCTCAGAAGCTTTATTTGTATATTATATATAACATTAATGACGGAAACAGAACACACTACAGTGAAATAACAATTTTATTGCTCAGTTTTGGTGACGTAAACATCGTTTGTAACTTTGGCAGTTTGCTACATACTTTTATACCATTCAAGTTCTTTCACTGAACTACTTATATTTTAATGCAAACTAGAAAAATGGGGTCGTTGTAAATCTTTTGACTGGTAGTATATTGATGCATTAATGTGTTCATCACTTTAATGTTGCAGCTGGTAATGGGGGACACTTTTTACTTACTTGTATACTGCTTGGTAGCTAGTGAGTTTACTCCCTTTTATCCTATATTAATATATCAGAACCTGTTTGCTAATTATATATTGTATTATGAAATTGAATCTGCAAGGTCAACTAGTTTGGAGTAGTGAGTGAATGCAGGCTACTTAGTTACTTTTCACCAGTTATGTATTTGTTGTGAGAAGGGGCAGGTAATATAAATGGACTGTTTTATTCTGTTACAGATTTAGTTGGTGTAAAGTTTTGCGTTTGAAGTCTACACTGAAGTGACTTTAATAATAAAAATTAAAAAATTTATTATCTTGCGTTTCTATGGAGGTCCCGCCCATTCGGCTTACTGATTGGCTGCTGCGTTTTGATCTAAGTAGCTGATTGGCTAATTCCGCTGCATTGGCCGTTAGAGAGGAAAGGAGAAAGGAAACGGATTGTTGCCAAAGAATGAGTTCGGTTTTAATTGATGAAACTGAGAGCAGTTTACACTTTAGTTGATCTTGTTTTGCCATGAGAAGAGTTACACTGTTTGTCAACGGAACCTCCACAAATGGAAAGGTAAGAAAGATAAAAACGGAAATAGGTGTTGGTTAGCATTCAAGTAAAAATGTATTCATGCTAAACAAAAATGGCTAGTTTAACGTTAGCTTACCGCGCATTAGCCAGCGTTACAAGCTAATGCCAGACATTTTGTTTAATGTACGGAAGTGTTAGGTGATCTGATGTGTGTTATCGGTGTTGTCGTACAGGTGGTGGCCGTGTACGGCTCTCTGGAGGATTTACTGTCCGTGGCCAGCTCGAAGCTGGGAGTAAGAGCCTCTAGTGTTTATAATGGGAACGGCGGCCTCATAGACGACATAGCGTTGATCAGGTAAGACCCAGCATCAGAGTATGTGTACAATTTCACTCTGGATTGAACAATGATCGCAATGTGCTATACAGTAATAAAATCAAACACAGGATAGAGATTCAGTATAGAGAACACATACATAAGTTACACACTGTCAACAAAACAGACTCACAAAAGTGCCATGAGCAGAGGATGCAGGAGAAAATTGTTATTATGTACATGTCGGAGGTGGATGTGATATACAGGTGCGCATACATGTACACAGTGTGATGAGTGCAAATGCTGGAATAAATAAGTATTATGTGCATGAGGTAGGTGGATTGGAATACAGTAGGAACAGCTTTGAAATGGAGAATGATGAATGAATAAGTAAATAAATGGTAAGTGGTAGCTAGTAAACAGGAATGATTGCACAGGCTTTGTTCCTGACACTGTAAGCCAGAGTCAGCTGTTCATCAGAGTGATGGCTTGTGGGAAGATGTTGTTCCTGAGTCTGTTGGTTTTGGTGTACAGTGCTCTGTAGCGCCTACCAGAGGGGAGGAGCTGGAACAGGTTGTGTCCGAGGTGGAGATGGATCTGCAGTGATGTTTCCTGGCCGTTTCCTGACTCTGGAAATGTATACGTCCTGAATGGAGGGCAGGTTGGCACCGATGATCTTTTCTGCAGTCCTGACTGTCCGTTGTAGTCTGTCCTCGTCCAAACCAGACAGTGATGGAGGTGCAGAGAACAGACTGGATGATGACTGTGTAGAACTGGATCAGCAGCTCCTTAGGCAGGTTGAGCTTCCTGAGCTGGTGCAGGAAGTACATCCTCTGCTGGGCCTTCTTGATGATGGTGTCAGTGTTGGGCTCCCACTTCAGGTCCTGGGATATAGTGGATCCCAGAAACCTGAAGGATTCACCGGCAGACGGGGGGCAGAGTGGGGGGGGGGCTCCTCCTGAAGTCCACGGGCATCTCCACAGTTTTGAGCGTGTTAAGTTCACCTGTAGCTTTGATAATAGGTGAGACCTGCAGAGTAATGTGTTCACCTGTAGCTTTGATAATAGGTGAGACCTGCAGAGTAATGTGTTCACCTGTAGCTTTGATAATAGGTGAGACCTGCAGAGTAATGTGTTCACCTGTAGCTTTGATAATAGGTGAAACCTGCAGAGTAATGTGTTCACCTGTAGCTTTGATAATAGGTGAGACCTGCAGAGTAATGTGTTCACCTGTAGCTTTGAAAGCAGTGAAATGTTTGTTTGTTTTCATGTAATTGATAAATCCGGTGTGTGTCTGTGCCTGCAGAGATGATGATGTGCTGTACATATCAGAGGAAGATTCATCTGAAGGTAAGTTTGAAGCAGATCCTCTGCAGTGAACATACTTCAGTAAAATTTCAAGTCAACAATGTAAAACTACTCCTTTGCACGTTAGCAGCAAAATGTATTTAAAATAACGTTACCAGAAGTAAAAGTACTGATTCTGCAGTAAAAAGTATCCTCTAATCTGTCAGTCAGCTAGTAACTAACTTTTAATCACATAGTTTCAGCTATACTTTATTTACAGTTAACTAGTTTTACTTTACTTTATATACAATCAGATAGTTTAGTCCAGTGGTTCCCAACCTTGGGCTCGGGCCCCTCCAAAGGTTCACCAGTTAAATCTGAGGGGTTGTGAGATGATTAACAGGAGAGGAAAGAAGAAAAACAAAGTTGTGATTCACAAATGTATAGTCATAATTTGAATTCTTCTGTAATCTTTGTTTTTTTTTTTGAGTGAAATATTGAATCATTTTAACTCTTTTACTCACAGCAGTTATTAAAATACCTGCTACCCACTAACTCTGTGTGAAAAGTGGCACCTGTCCGTGGAACACAAGTTGAATGCTGTTTTTATTTGGCATACAGTAACAATATATCAACAGTCAACGCCAGTGATGTAACATTTCCATATGCCATATGTTGGTGAAACAGCAACAACATACCACTAGTCAAAGTGACATACCACTAATGATCAGCACATGACACCAGAACATCAGTACGTGACGGTGTGAAGTGACAGTAGAACTTGAGTGACATTTGACAGCAGTGTACCAAACGCTAACAATGACAGACGACTCAGAAACAACACAAAAAAGAGTGTGACCACTTTTTGGTATCGGCATCGCTCGTCATGCATCTTCTTTGTTATTAGTTAAGTTTCCTTGATTGTATGCCAGTTACTTACTAAAGGATACTAAAGGACTGTAGCCTGTTCATCCTGCTGCCTTCTGGGAAGAGATATAGGAGTTTCTGCTGAGACACTTCAAGACAGCAGAGCAGCATTTTCCCCCAAAGCTATTAGACTTTTAAACTCAAATTCATCCTCAGCACTGCTCCAGTGTATTTCTGTACACAGTGTATTACCATTTTTAAATTGCTTTTATATTGCTATAGTGTATATTTTCTGCTACACGGCAGAAGAGAGTTACAAACTCTTTACAACCTGTTGTAATGTGACAGATAAATCTACCTTGTACTTCCGCCTGTGTGTAGATCCTCCGGAAGATCTCGGAGGCCTTGAAAAAGGTCAGACTGATTGGCTGACGCTCAACGTCGGTGGACGCTGCTTCACCACCACGAGGTAAATTTGTCCATTGTTGATGCATCACTTTCCAGTTTATAACGTCATGGATGGGAAACACTGAGGCTTATGTGGCTGCTGTTTTGCTGTTTTCCTCCTCTTGAAGTGGAGCTGTAAACTGCAGTTTTAGTTGGTTTAAATAACCGCTGGGCATTAGTGAAACATGGTTGCCTCCTTCAACTGTATAGGTTTTATGTAAATAGCTTCCGTATGTGTGTCCTCAGAAGCACGCTGGTCAGTAAAGAGCCTGAGAGCATGCTGGCCCACATGTTCAGAGAGAAAGGTAATGGCACTCAATAAACACACAACTTTTTATCTTAAAAAAATAAATGATTGATCTGTTTGTTTTAATAAAAGCTCTTGTGCTTTTTCATCTTGTGTTTAATTCAGACATTTGGGGGAACAAGCAGGACTCTCAGGGGGCCTACCTGATAGATCGCAGTCCAGACTACTTTGAACCCATTCTGAATTATCTGAGACACGGACAGCTCATCATCAATGAAGGCATCAATCCTCTGGGTACAAACCACACACTTTTAATGTGTATTGAACAAGTCATAGATTACCGTGCTTTCTAATCTAGTCTTTCCTCTGCAGGTGTGCTGGAAGAGGCTCGCTTCTTTGGTATTGAGCAGCTTGCTGAACAGCTGGAGACCCTCATAAAGGTATGTGCGCCTGTGTAGAGCACACATTTTGTTGAATGAAGGTTATTTTCAGGGCCAGTGGTTTCAGCCCCCCACA